TTCATGGCTGTGTGACTACAGACAAATTGGTTCACAACTCTGAGCTTCAGTTTCCTCATCAACAAAGTGAAGGGCTTGAATTCGATGACCGAGGTGGTTCTTTCCAGCTCTAAATTTATCACCTTAGGAACCTAATGCCCTTGATCCCAGTTTGCTGCCCCATTTATTCTCTTGAAAAGTAGATTATCCTTATCAGCTCTTCAAGAAGATGAATAATAGGACATCAATGAATAATGATAACACAACAGAATATTGTGACTGGATTGGTTCATGTCCAGGACAGTTTTCTATAATACGTGAAAATCACATTGTCATCTGTACCATAAAAAAACAACCACCTGAACAGCAACAGATTGGTTTTTGTTGTAGAAGATGATATAGAATGCCTCTTGACTCCCTGAGGATATGATGATGGTGGTGGTGGTGATGATAACAATGATGCTAATGATACTAATAACCCATGATTGTATGACTTTAAGTGCTTTCCTCACAACAACTCAGTGAGTTGTTGAGTTGAGGTAGTTAGTCAATGTCCGTGGATTGTGTAACATAGATTGCACAGGCTGAGAGGTATAGGATCAGACAGACTGCCAAGATATGTGACTAATGGTAGCACCCCACTTAAATTTGTGTTCATGGCTTTATCTGCTCACACCCAGGGAGAGTTAAGAACATAGCATGACATTACTAAAGTGCTTTGGACAGGATCCCCAAGATAAAACTCTATTTTTTGGTTAAATTAATTGCCTCCAATTATATTCTTGGGTGCAACAGAAGAAAGGGAGAAGTTAGGTAAGAGAAGCAATGCAAAGAATGGCATACACAAGAGAGATGTCTAACTCTAGTTCTGTAAATCTAGTGTCCTAGGGCCAGAAGAGGAGGTGGGTTGGTTGGGTGGCAAGAGTGAGGACAAGATAGTTTGTGCATTCCATCAGTACTCATGAGAAGTCAAGATATTGACAAGAAGGTGCCCAGCATATTGGGTGAATTCCCTGTGAAGGACTTATGGGAAAGTATGCACAAAAGTGGTACAGAATGAGCAAACACAGACAGATTAGGCTTTGCATTGTTGGAAGGAGTACCCATCCATAGCAGACAGGTAATAGACCTATTGGAGTATCTGTATCTTTATGGCTTAGAAGATGAAAAGAAAGCTTTTCATTAAGTGTTAGTGACATTTCTTCCAAACTAATTCCCACTGAGAAATGCAGATAATTCTTTTATTTCCCATGTAAAGGTTGTTACTATGGTGGAGGCATTTTTGAGGGTTGAGCCAATGTATTTGGGAGGCTTGAATTCACATACTCTTAAGCATCCTGGTAAGCAAATGAATAAATCAAACCAAAGCTAGCACATAACAGACACTCTATTAAACCATAACTTTACTAATGAGAATCAAAATCATGGGGATTCCTCCTTCCACCACACACTACTCAGAAGGGTGGGGTAACTATCAAAACAAGCTCCTGTTTTAGTAAAACAACGATAGGACCTGCTGAATATATTTAGGCCTCAGTGTACATTCAATACAATCTCCTGCATCTTCTCCATCTGCAAGGCTCTGCAATTAACATGGATATTCAGAACAATGACCCTTAGCACCACAAAAGCCTCAATGACCACAGAGTCTCTTAGGTACCCTACACTGGCTGACTAAGGAGGGAAAATGGACTTGGGTATATTCAAAAGATCTGCAAAAAAAGAGGGTTGAAATCAATGTTATGTTTAAATTAAATAGACAATTCATTCAATCAGTAGTCCCTGAATGTTCTAGTTAAATGAAGCTTGATAGTCTTTGATTTTATCTTGGAAGGGGTTGAATTCCTTAAAAAAAGACGAGTTCAATGGGCACTGAAGCAAATGCTTAGTTGTCTGCTAAAAGACTACCAGAAAACCCTTCTGACTCTAACTTGAAGTCTCCCAGAAAGTCTGCGACACCTATGACACACCCAACAAGTGGTCATCCAGTCTCTAGTGAGGGAGATTCCATTGCCTCCCAAGGAAGCCCATTTCCTTTTGGACAGCTCCAATTGTAGACCTACATTTGCCTTTCTAAAACTTCCATCCATGGCTCTCATCTGAACCCTAGGGCCCAACAGAGTAGACCTAATCCCCTTTACATATAACAGCCCTTCCAATACTTACATAGAGCTGACTTCTCCCAGTTTTCTCATCCTCAGGCTAAATATTTCCAATTTCTTCAACTAATCTCCATCTATGATATGATCTTCAGGCCACTAGCCATCTTTGTTGCCCTCTTCTGCACTCCTTCTTAGCTTGTCAGAGCTATTCCTACAATGTAGCACACAAAATTGAACATAGTACTCCAGGTGTGGTAGAGTATAATGAATGTTACTTCTTTTATTTATTTTATTTATGTCACTCTCATCACAGCTTAGGATCACATTAGCTTTTGTGCCTGCCAAGTCACACTGTTGACTCATATTAAATTTGTGGTCCGTTAAAAGTTGGATATTTTTCTTAAGGGAGATGGACTAGACAATGTCTAAAGTTTTTTTAGTTCTAAATTTCTAATTCCACCAGATTTGGGTTCTGTTACTTGTTGTGACTTAGAAAAAGAAAGGAAGAAAGAAAAAAAGAAAGGAAGGAAGAAAGGAATAAGAGAAGAAAAAGAAAGGAAAGAAAGGAGGAAGAAGGGAAGGAAGAAAGAGGGAAGAAAAAGAAGGTAGGAAGGAAGGGAGAGAATGATGAGAGGAAAGCATGCCTCACTCTGTTGAAATCCACCCTCTCAGCAACTCAAAGCTTCATCTCTTAAACTATGTTCCAGAAAATTGTTCTAATCATTTCTATGCTACTCATAGCATCAGAAATAAACTTTTTAAAAAGTGCCACTATTACACCCACACACAATTGCGTAGTACAAAGAATCAGAAGATTTGGATCCCAAGTCCTAGTTCTGTTGATGTGTAAATTTAGGCAAGCCACTTACCCTCTCTGAACCTTACTTTTCTCATTTGTAAAGTGAGAACATAATACTTGGCCCTGCTTCACAGGTTTGTTAGAGGGGAAATGCTTTGTAATCCTTAACTAGCAGCATAGCTGTAAGTTATTAGGAAGAAAACAACACAGAACAAAATGAGAGGGAAATAATACAAATAAATGCTAATGAAAACCCCTAGTTTTCAGTGACCTATTATGTGGAACCCAGGCACAAAGACCTCATCCTGTATTTGTCCATTTGCCTTAGACTTACTCAATACCACAGAATATTTACCATCATGATATCTCAAGCTGCTTTCTTAACACTTGAACGATGAAGCACATAGGAAAAAGAACACAATTTCAGCTTCTCCTTCCTCATCCTTCAAGTTACACCAGTTAGATCCCAGGGTGATACTCTCTCCTAGCTTCTCCTCCCAGGGGAACAAAAAAGCGCCCCCCGATCCCCAGAGTCCCTGGAGGCCAAAGAGAACAGACTCAGTGGAACCAGTTTACACGGCTTCTCCCTCCGTTTTTAACGCAGTTTCTATTTCAGGGGAGCCTCTCATCCTCTATTTAAGGAGTGCTGATCATCCCTGAGGATGAGCTCTCCCCGGTAGAAGTTTCAGAACCTAGGACAGCAGCCACTCCCTTCTGGGCACTCTGCAGGCCAGGCAAGCATTCTCGCTAAAGCCAAACCTTTGCTAACCTACTCCCCGGACTCAGCACCTGCTTCAACCCTCCGAGCACGAGTGGGGGCACCTTCTCCCATCTTTCCGATTGGTTAGGGGGCTCTTGCCCAGAGACTACGACTCCCTATCCCCCTATGGTCAGATGCTGGCGTTTCCACTTCTCCCTCCCTAGGGCTGATCAGAACTGTGACGCTCAGTCCCTTTGCGTTACGCAGCTCCAGACATCAATGAACCTCGCTCGGGTCTCCAGGGAGGGAGCCAGGAGAGAGCCGATGCCCTGTTCAGGCTGCTGCCTCCGCCTTCGCGGCAACGTCCCTTGCATTTGATAGCACAGGGCTTTCTCTCATCAAATGGATTATCTTTTGGGCGCTCAAAAACATGGAACAGGAAGAGGGGGTGGAGGTGGTGAAAGAGGTCGTGATGGGTAGAGGTGGGTGTCGCTGCCCCTAACATGGCCCCTTCCTCCAGTGTCCTATTTGCTTGTAGGAGAGAGAGGGATGTATTGGAGAAATCCTCTGAGAGTGAGTGCCTTAGCTGGGGCAGATACGGGGAAAACGAGTGATCAAGACACTTTTTCTAACACGTCTTTCTTCTTCGCTCCCCCCTCCCCCACTCTCCCCCCCGCCCAGACCATTGCCTGGTCAGACATTACCATCCCTGTCCCCACTCCGCCCCCTTTGGCCAGGTCCTGAGGAGGAGGTGAGCAGTGGAGCTAGGCCAGGTCAGCTCTGGTTCCCTTTGAAGAGTTTGCTCTAGTAAGAGGGCAAACTCGTCCCCTTCCTAGGTCTTTTCTCCTTTTGGGATGCAGCCGGAGAAGGGCCCCTTCCTTCCTTGCGTGTTGTGTCTGTCCTACGGCAGAGGAAGGAGCAGAGCGCAGAGGGGTGAGGGAGGAAGGGAGGAGGGGGAAGGTGAGGGCGAAGAGAAGGCTGAGGCTTGCTGGCCAAGAGGAGAGGAGGGATGGAGAGGAAGCCCTTACTCTTCTCCTGCCTCCATCCTTCCGCCTCCTGGCTTCCAGGCGGCGTCGGCTTAGTGCCTGAAGAGCTTGGGCAGCAAGGCAGAAGCCCTAAGCTAAAGTCTCCAGTCCCCCACAACGCCAACACTGTCCAAGAGATTTTCCAAGGCAGAGGATCAGAGATCTGCCCTCCCCCCAAGCACCTCTGCCCCCCAGGGGATCCCTCCCAAGCTAGAGCAGTAGAGCTTACAGCCTCCGCGCCATGTTCCCCCTCCCCACCTCCCTTTAGCACCGTTCCCTCGGTTAATTCAGGAAGATGTTGGGAGGGAGGAATCAAAGGGTAGGGGGTTCGATGGAGGTGGAGAATCAAAGGGTAGGGATAGGAACCCAGACCTTCGAGGAGACGGCTTACTCACCTGGCCGGAGGATGCAGGAGGTGGAGGACTTGAAACTGGTGGCCGGATCTGGGAAGCAGCCCCTGCTGTATTGGCTTCTGTGTGTCTGATGCTTGTGTATACGGGGGTAAGTGTGGGGCTGCGGGTGATGGGAGCAGAAGGGAGGAGGTGGTGGCTGCCTCCGCCGCCACCGGGGAAAGCTGCTTCTCAATTATTCCGAACGCTTTCCCTCCCCCTTGCGGCCAGGCGATCCTCCCTCCCTCTCTCCCGCTCCCTCTGTTTCTCCGCCTCCCTTGTCACGTGGCTAGCCCAGCCCCATGTATTATTTAGCTTGAGCCTTTCACCAACGCCCCCATGAAGCTGTCATTGCTGCCAGCTCTCCGCACCCTAGGCAGGTCCCCCTACCCCCGCCCTTGTACCTCGCCTCCCTGCGCTGTGGTTGACACCACAGGGTCCCAGAGTAAGTCAGCTCTGGCTTCATCATGGTGGTGGTGCAGTGTTTGGGATGGGGAGGAGGCAGCTGGAAATGGGAGCAGTTTCCTGTCCTGGGAGAGCAGGATAGGGCTATGCAGCATCTGTGCAGAAGGCAACTGTTCTCCCTTCTTCATAAAAACCATTTGTCAAGCTCCTGATTGCATGTGGTGGGACTGATTTTGAATCTGGCCAAAGAGAATTTCCAGGGGCCAGTCATTACCCTCTAGGACCTTACACCAAAAAATGAATCACAGAATTCAAGATCTCCAAGGAATGCGGGATTCATAGGAGATATGTCCAACCCCTATACGAAAAACAATCCCCTCTCCCACAAGTCCAACAAGTGGTCATCCAACTTTTGTTTGAAGACTTCCATTGAGAGGAAAGCCACTAACTCCTGAGGCAGCTCATTCAGTTTTTGGACGGGCTCTAATGCTTAGCAAGGTTTTTCAGACATGGCACATAAATCTGCCTGTAGACAACCTCCACCCTTTGCTCCTACTTCTGACATCTGGGAACTACATAGAACAAGGCTGATAAATCATTTCTTGTAACAGTTCTTCAAATTCTGGAGGACAGTTTTTATGTCTTCCCCAAGTCCTTTCTTTTGCAGGCTAAACATTCCCATTTCGTTCAACTTATCCTTGTGCATGGCATATTCTCCAGTCTTCTCACCACTCCTGTACATCTTCCATTTCCCTCATCACCACAGAAAAGGGGACAGGCAATGAAGCTCTAGGGAAAACCAAAGGAGATTTTGCTGATCTGCAGAGCTCAGCCTCTCCTTTTTTACTCTTCCCTTATCCCAACTCCCATTTTCCTCCAGTTAAAGCACATTCTTTTATTTTTCTCCCCTCCACCTATCCTCCTCCACAGCAAAATTTGTTCTTAGGAAAAGATCTGATGGATCTCAATCATTTACACCTCATTGGAGATGCTGAATTACCTCTCCCAAGGGATATCTGCATTTTAAACTGAGCTCTAAAGGTGGGATGACAAATTTTGTCCTCCATTAAGGAGATTTCAAAAATTAGCCTGAAGGGGTGTGTGCCCCTGTGCTCACACAGCAGTTTTTAAGTTCAGAGTCCTTCTTTGCTTTTTTGTCACATATGTATAGGTGGTCACTACTCATCCCACCAAGAAATAGAGGATAGATCATAGAATGATGAATGTCTGTGTCCTTTTTCTGTCCAGTCTCCTATCACAATAATAATAATAATAATAGCTGATTTTATATGATACTTTATCTCATTTGAACTTCATGCTATTCCCATGTATTAGTGTGTGTATACATATATATATGTGCATATATATGTATATATATATAAAATTATAGGTATTATGAAGTGTTCCCTTTCCCCAATTTGACATATGGAGCAACCAAGTCTCACAGAGATTAAGTAATTTGTCCAAGGCTGTACAACAAGTATTAAAGGTCAGATTCTAACCAACTTCTCTCCCATTGGCAAATCTGGTGCTCTTTTCCCTATGCTATCTATTTCAAGAATCCAGATACCATTTTATCAAACAGGGTGACCAATTACAGAGGCTTCACCATGTAGAGAGGAGAACAATCAATCAATCATAAAGCATTAATTAAGTTCTTGGTACATAAAAGATATTGTGCCAAGCACTGGGGATGCAAGGACACAAGTCAAAACAGTCCTCAGTCTAAATGAGATAGAGTTCTAACAGGGGTTAGAATATGCACTTATATCAACATAACAAAAATATGTTGAAAATCAATACAAAATAGTTTGGGGAGTTTAGGTAGTACCATATAGAGACAGATGGGGGGAGAAATAAAAAAATGTTTCATATTGGTGATCCCTGAACCTAATTTTGAAGAAAATTGGAAACTCCAAGAAGTGGATGTGAGGAAGGAGCATATTACAGGCACTGGGGAATAGTCAATGAAAGGCAGTGTGAAGGAGACAGGAGATAGGCTGAGGAAGGGCTGGACTGCAGAGTGAGGACTGAAGTGTAATGTATAAGAAGACAGGGAAGGTAGGAAGGAGCCAGGATATGAAGAAATTTAAATGCCAAGCAAAAAAGTTTATAATCAATCTTAGATGTGATAGGGAACCACTGAGACATGTATTGAATGAGAAAAGAATATGTGTATGTGCACGCTTGTGTGTGTGTGTGTGTGTGTGATGGTTAGACCTATGGTTTTGGGAAATCATTTTGGCAGGTTAGGGAGGATGGATTGGAAGTGGGAGACAATTGATGTAGGGAGACAAACTGGAAGGCTGTTGCAGTAATTCAGATGAGAGGTGATGAGGGCTTCAACTGGAGTAGTGGTGGCAGTGTGAGTGGAGAGAAGGAATATATATAAGAGATGGGGAGTTGGAAACAGAAATATTTGGCAATTGATCGAAGAGGTGAAACGATGGAGAGTGAGGAATCAAGGATGACATCTAGACTATGAATCCGAGTGACTGGAAAGATGGTTGAGTGTTCCACAGTACCAGAGCTGTTTAGAAGAGAAGCAGATTTGGAGGGAAAGATAATGAGCTCTGCTTTGAACTCTGGGTTTGAATTCAGAAGAACTGCAGTCACAACTTAGCTCTTCCACTTGCTACTTGTGTGACTTCAGACAAGTCATTTCAAAACTCTCTGTGCCTCAATATTTTCATCTATTAAATAGGTGAAGTGATTAGAATAAATTATGTCTAATGTACAACTCTAAATCTTAATACCCCTTAATTTCACCAAATTGTAGTCACCAGGAACATCTAAATTTGAAGAAAAAAAAACCTCTCTGAAGCCATCTAGCCCAATCCACACAGGAAGAAGAATGATCTCCTCAACATAATTGATAACAAGTCATGTAGCCTTCCATAAAGGGAAAACCACTACCTCCCATTACTTTTTACTCTTTAGTAATTCAAATTATCAAGAAACTTTTCCTTCTATCAACCTTAACTTTTTCTCTCTACAATTCTCTGGCTCCCCGTTCTGCCCTCTGGGGTCAAATATAACAAGTCTAATCCTTTTCCCACACAACAATTCTTCAAATACTTAAAGACTGCTATCATATTTCACTATCTTTTCTTCTTCAAGTTAATCATTCTTAGTTCCTTCAAATAATTCCCAGCTTGAGGGCCCCCACCCTGGTTGTCTTTCTCTGGAGTCTCTCCAGCTTATCAAAGAACTTCTTATATTAGTGCATCTAGAGCTAATTGAATTTGCTCAGTTGGACTGAGTAGAATAGAGTACATTCTGGCTATCCCCTCCCATTCCATTCCTCTTAATGCAGCCTAGGATGACATTAGCTTCCTTGGCAGTCATATCACAATGTTGATGCGTATAACTTTTTCAATCTACCAAATCCTTCAGGTCTTTTCTAGAAAAATTGCTTACTAAGCTTGCCTCTTTCATTCTATTTTTATGAAAGTGATTCTTTTTTAAAATTTTGGTGAGGCAATTGGGGTTAAGTGACTTGTCCAAGATCACACAGCTAGTAAGCGTCAAATGTCTGAGGCCAGATTTGAATTCAGGTCCTCCTGACTCCAGGGCTGGTGTGCTGTCCACTGTGTTACCTAGCTGCCCACGAAAGTGATTCTTAAAACAATGTAAAACTTTACATTAATTTCTATTGTGTTTCATCTCTTAGATTCAGCCCCATGTTTTTTCAGGTTAAGATTTTTTTATTTGTATCCCAACTTGACAGCCTTGACAGTGAACTGTTTCAGTTATCCCATCTAGCTTTGTGTCATTTATAAACTTGACAAGCACTTCAACTATGGCTTTATCCATATTAGTGATAAAATGTGTTAAAGGCCAAATACAGATTCCTGGGGTGTCTCACTGAATACTTTCCTCTAACTTGTATAGAACTATTAATGATAACTCTTTGGACCTATCCATTCAATTCATACTGTTGTTTAGTGCATACTTCTTCATCTTGTCCACAAGAATTACATGAGAGACTTTTGTCAAGTATTTTGCCAATATCTAAGTAAACTATGTCTACAGCATTCCCTTGATCTAGCAGCCAAAGCTATAAATAATAAAAATAATGATAATGATGATAATAATAATAAAGTTAATTTGGGGTGGTCTATTTTAGATGAAGTGATGCTGGCTTTTTTCTCTAAATGTTCAAAGATCATCCTTTTAATGTTTTCCAAATTTTATCAGGAATTAGCCAAGTTCATTGGTCTTTATTTGAAGACTCCACTTCTCTTTTTAAAAGAATTGTCTCTTCTCCCATCTTGTAGTACCTCTCCTATTCCTTACAGTCTTTCAAAGATTACTTAGATTCCTTCAGTCATTCTGTTCCTCTAGTTCTTTGGGCTAACATTTGTCTGGTTAGGTTAACTTGAATTCATCAAGGACAGGCAGGTGCTTTCTTCTGATCTCCTTACTTAATCTTAGTTATAAACTTCTTAGTATTTTTGATCTGTCTTTTTTATACTAAGATCAGTCTTGTCACAGAAAAAAAGGAGTAAAATGGGACCAAGTAACTGTCTTCTCTCCATCATGTATTTTTATTGCCTCATCCACTCTAGGCAATCACATCCTTTTTAAATTCTCTTTCTCAGGGCAGCTAAGTGGCACAGTGGATAGAACACTGGCCCTGGATTCAGGAGAACCTGAGTTCAAATCCAGCCTCAGACACGTAACACTTACTAGCTGTGCCACCCTGGGCAAGTCACTTAATCCCATTGCCTAACCAAATAAAAAATTCTCTTTCTCCCCAATGTAGCTAACTCCCTCTTCTTTGTACTTGGTTGTTCTTGAAAGCA